TAAAATTTAAGTTCAAAACTAGTGATTCCAGTGCTAATAGAGAGGGGTGTCTAAAACTAAATGAACAGTTCCTGGTTTACTTAACATAATTTTAAATTTAATGAGAAATGGAAATAATTTACAAGAATTGGAGAAGAATTAGAAATTAATGTTTCTTGCCAATGTTAATTTATATTATCATTGTAATTCCATTTTCTAGACTTAATTTATTCATCTTTTACTAACAACATTTGTATCAATAAAAAATTTAATAATGAAATTTCTTGAAATAATAATTTCAAATATTTAGCTGAAATGCACTGTATTCATTAAATGTAGTAAAATTGGTTACATTTTTAATTATAGTTATTTAATATATGGAAAACTATTCCAAATTTAATACAACTTTATATGGAGCAACTACAAAAATTAGACCAATGCCAACAAGTTGCAGTTCTTGGATCAGTAATGATAAAATATTGTATTTCAAATGATAAAAAGGAAACATTCCAAGGTGCTGTTGTGAGTGTTTTTAATTATTAGTATCAGTACAAAATTGGGTAATGATATTTATTTTAGCCATTGCTAATGGACATCTTCATTAAAACTGTAGTAAGTTCCAAAATAAAACCTTTGAAAGAAATTGTTATTGGATGCTATCCACTACTTCAAATACTAAGCCACGACCAATTTAAAAGCATTCTTTTACCAGCTCTACAGAAGGCTATGTTAAGAAATCCAGAAGTAATAATCGAATGTGTTAGCTATGTGCTATCTGGCTTGAGCTTAGATTTAAGCCAATATGCAGTTGATATTGGCAAAAGTTTGATAGGTAAACAAAATATACTTTGGTTTGTTAAGATTTATGTCAAATTTGAAACTATTGGTCTTTTTTTAATTGCTGTTTTGTTTTAAAGCCAACTTGCCATCTAAAGATGAAACAGTTAGAGAACATTCAGTGATAGCCTGTAAACAGTTAGCACAGCAGTGCAGTGATTCTGGTGCAATAGAAAAACTTGTGAAAGATGTTTTCGCTGTATTTCATGGTTCAAATGGAAAATTAACGCTAATTGAACATAAAATAAGTGTTTTACGAGTAAGTCCATTATGTAATTTATTGAGAAAGTAAAATGAATTTTTTTAATAAGGAAATTATAATCATTTCGATAAATTAAAATATATATATATTTAGGGAGCTGGAAATTTGAGTTTTAATGGTGTAATGGGAAGTAGTCTTCAATGTTTGGCTTCATCCACTTCAAAGTTTTTCTTCAAGGTGCTAGAAACCGAGGTGCATGAAAAGGTTTTGTGTCATACACTAGATATGCTATCGTTATGGATAGCTAAATTCAATAATGACGTGCCAAAAGAATTGATCGATTCTCTAAAGGTAATTTATACACGTGGTGTCAACCTGACTAGACTCGATAAAGTCAAGTTTACATTAAATCAGTATATTATTATATTAAATATTATGCTCAGTTATTTATCATAGTGATGTTAATTTTCTTACTCACCTGCCTAAAAACCTACAGATTATTTAATTTAATTTAATAACACAACTGAATAACAAAAAAAATTATCATTTAATAACTCAACTGTCGAGTCATTATTGTCATTATTTCTAAAATAATTAAATTTCTGCATTAATTTAACAAAAAAAATACACCCGTGTTACTTATAGAATGGAATGAACTTCAAAACATCTACTGCTGCCGTTAGAACTTCATACATACAATGCATGTCCGTTTGTTTCAATGGTAATACGATACCGCAAGCAACAGTTCTGATTCCAACTTTATTGAAATCTATTGAAAAAGCTATTGCACAACCTTCACAATATCCCATAGTTATTGAAGGCTTGAGTGCTACCTGTCTGTTCCTTAGAATTGTCACTGCCCAAGGATCGAATGAAAATGCGTATCAGAATATATGGAACGTAATTTTCGACATGGATAAACAGTTGTTTGTTTCTGAAAAATTTCTTTCTGCTGCAACTAACGAGGGTAATACATTTTTCCTTTAAACAATAGATAGATGTTTTAAAAACGATTTGCAAGCTCAATATTAAAGCTTTGTAATACTTTAGAGCAGGGATGCCCAAATTCAAGTGGCTCAAGGTCCGCTGTAAAAAGTTACGGTTGCCAGGGCTACATCATAAAATACTTCGTATGCATTATTATCAGTGTTTGTAATAGATAAAAAACTTGTTTGTTTCGTATTAATTATTATGACCTATGTATATCTTACTTTATTTTATTACAGGGGTGAAAATGACTCACTTACGCTATTTTCACCTGTTTATATATTGCCATCGAATTTTCGTTATTGGTTCCTAATTTTATATAAAATCAAAAGTAGAATATATATATTA